AAGAAGGAGAAGGAGAAGGAGAATAATGAGTGTGGTAGGCAAATAATGTCTAAGCATTGTAAAGAAAATGTTTTTCTTTTTGCATACCCTGTGAAAAGGTCTCAGAGACCCACAYGATTCCTTAAAATACTAGGTAAGAGCATTGTCAGCCCCTCAAAATAACTACATACAAAGTTCTACCAGACAGGAATACTCAATTGGATTATTTATTTTTCTACTTCAAAGATAATTTTCCAAATAACAAGATTAATATGAACAGTATTCGATTTAAATTCTTGAATATTTGGGACAAAATTTTAACTTCATCTCCATAATTACTCTTATGAAGGTATTTATTAATATTAAATGCAGGTTTTAAAGTGTCCATAAGACATAGGCAAGGCAGGTTTTAATCAGATTTATAGATCCTGGGGCCAGGGGTATGGCTCAGTGGTAGAGAGCTTGCTAGCATGCCAAAGGCAACTGGTTCAATACCTGGCACTACAAAAACCAACCCACACTCTTCAAAAAAAAAAGTGTGTGTGTGTGTGTGTGTGTGTGTGTGTCTGTGTGTGTGTGTATATGTATGTGTGTGTGTGTTATATAGATTCTGTAGGAAAAGAACTCAACCCTTTCACCCACCCACCCCAAAATAAATGGAGAATTTAATTACTTCAGAGTAAGACAATTAGCTTTCTTTTTCTTTTTTCTTTTGTAGTTGTAGATGGTCAGAATGCCTTTATTTTATTGATTTTTATGTGGTGCTAAGGATCGAACTCAGTGCCTCATATTTGCTAGGCAAGTGCTCTACCACTGAGCCGTAGTTTTTTTTTTATGTTTGTAAACCAATGAGCACATTCACAATTCCAAAAGGAAGAGTTGATTTTATTCATATTCAGACCAGGATAATACATTAAATGTTTTTTTTTTTKGGGGGGGGGGAAACCTGCACATTCCAGAAATCATAAATGCCTTCCAGGGGCATGATCACACTACTTTCTCAAATGTCAACTAATGTCAATATCAAAATTAAAATGAATGAAGAATCTGGATTTTTCTCTGCATTGATCAACAACTCCCTAACCCCCCACACACACACACACACACAGTGAAGTCAGATAGAAAACAAAGGAAACATTAGGAAGCCTCTACACTCATTCAACTATTCTACTTTTTATTTTATTGCAAAATAGGGTAATTTTAAAGAAACATATACATGAAAGAAACATACATAAATGCAACAGTAGTTTAAGTATACACATACCCTTGAGGGCAAACAAATGCTGAGTTACAATATAATCTCAGTCTTTAGGGGCCCTCCATAAATGACCAAATGTATATTTTGAATACAATGCAAATCTAAGATAATTTAAGGCAAAACAGCCATTTGCAAAAGTTAAGGAAGTATCAGGATCTTCTCTCTTTAAATTCTGACTGCTCTCGCAGTTCACACCATACCAAATTAAAGTAGCACAGCATTTCTCAGAATCAGTTTTTGATCTTAATACAAAAAAAACTCAATCAGTTTTTTGCTAATTTCTGTCCCACAATGCCCACTTTTAACAGTAACCATCACTTCTACTTGGCAGCCCTTTTCAAAGAGAGTTCAAACAAAGCTAAAATGGTCCAAATCAAATTCTAAAAAACAATGCAATTTTGTGTTATATTATTTAATTAACTTCAATCTTGTGATTTTCTAATCTTTTTTAAATCTACTATTTATGATTTCCTTGGCTACAACTTACAAAAATGAATCAAAGGTAAATCAAGTCCACAGGAAAAAATTGCCTATCCTAATCACTAGAAACAATAGCAGGCACAGCAGCTGGAGCCAGTAAGTCCCATACTTGTTATTTTTCCTTGTGGAAAGAAATATTTGAATCTGTAAAACATAAGAAGAACATTATAAAGAAAATCATTTCTGAAAAATGTTTCATTCATATTTTTGAGCTGGACCTGAATCTGAAGGATAATCTCACCTAGCAACCTAAACTGAGACATCAAAAGTATCAGACAAATCACATGTTGGCTTATCACTCCTCTGGCTAGAGATGCCTGATGCAGCCTAACATATCTACCTAAGAAAAATTAAGTAGTTCACATAAACCGTTGTACTAATCATTTCTCCTACCCAGAGTTTTAGAAATAGTTCAGTCAACCATATACTCCAGTGCAGCAGGTTACTGAATACTTAGAAGTGTTATGGAATGGCATTCAAACACTGACACATTCACCTTCAGCTAAAGACAGCACAATAAACTGACAGACACTGTTCTAATGACATCAGGACCTGTGGAATGTATGACTGCTAGGAAACACATGCTGCTAGGAAACAAAGAACAGATCTGATCAAATCTTCTAATGGAAGGACTGAGAATCATTGTGATGAGATCTTCCAAACTGGGAGGAAAAAAGTATTCTTTAATCCTTAGAAATATTTACAAGTATAAAAACTGTAACACATACTCCCTAGAAATGAAACACATATATGATACTAGATTCTTATGGGTTAAAACATAACTCTCTAAATTTTCTATTAGGGTGATGACCACGAGCAATATCACTTATAAAAATACAACTTAATCAAGATCAGGTATTGATGATTCAGTATTTTTCTTTGGCAACCTAAGTTTTTTCAAGAAGTCAGGATCTTAAAAAAAAAAAAAATCAAAAAATTAGTGTGCCTAAAATCAAAGTACCCATTACACAGTGCTGTACTTTTAAAACCAAATAGGACACAGCCATTTGCAACAAACACCAAAGCAGTCAGAGCTAATACAGAAGTAAAGAATTTAATGTCATTTAATTACTGAAATTTAAAAGTAGTTATGATTGCAAAAGCAACTGTTGACAAACTGTTTACCTTGTACATTCTTTACCCTTTCTTTAGTTAAAAAAAAAAAAGAAAAAAGGAAGAGGAGAAAGAAAGATTAGATGACAAAGCTGACAGAACACAAATATCCTCCTAACTCCTACACAAATTATCTGGTATCCTCTTTTGGTGATACTATAAAAGAACTGGCAATTTTATTAGCAATCCACACACAGATAAATTGGGTGCCAGAACTCCAAAGAATTTGGTACCATTACAGACTGAAAAATATATTAGGGAAATCTAAGCTCTGGTATCTCACAGGGAGATACAGGACGATCTCCAAATGAAAAATCACTGAAGTGTTTCTTTGCAAATTCTAYGATGACATTCTTTAACTAGGATGGTAGCCCGTGTGACACTAAAATTAGCAGACCGCCTATTTACTTCGGAGCAAACACAGAAGGTAGTTTTTCCTCCTGCCAGAGTCTATGCGTCTCATTTCCCCAGCAGCTGGCTGAAAGGATGTAAAATCAGACGTGCAAAAAGGCTTATACTTCCTAATGAGTAATCCACCCAGGAAAGTAAACAAAACAGACACCAATAGGTTCAGCTCTAAAGGAGACTGTGGATGCTTACACTGTTGTTTACAATGTTCTCTAACTACTGCAGGCAAGGATCACATGGAACACAGGGAGGAGACACCCTGGAGGTGGTTGGTATGCCCGAGTTCACCCAACTGCTACATCGCTAGCCATAAATAAAGGCAGCGCATGTTTCTATCCGTGCGAGGAAAGTAGCCAGAGAATTCTAAGGACCAGAGATTATGCTGGTTTGACTTGATTACTTCAATCTGTTCAAGAGATGATTACTCTATGAGGTCCTCACCAGGGCCAATCTAGGGTGCGTCGAGCGCTGCACCAGCGACTCTCACGCGTCCCAYGCATCTCGCTGAACTGCGCCTCTCCGGGGAAGAGCGAACACACTGTGAGGCTTCCTCGCAATCCTACAGGGCCCCCTTGGCCTCCCCAAACCAGATTTTCCAGTTAAACGGATCCCAGGCGATTTTGATAAGCAAGCTCTTCTCAAGTAGCATCAGCACATCCCAGCACACATCTCCTTGACATCCTCCGGGCGCAGGAACGCGCACACCCAGACAGGCACATGCGGACCCCACTGCCAACTAACCCTGGTAGAGGAGGTTGTTACCCACTCCTACAAACGTACACACCTAAAATTGCTAGGGCCCTGGAACATTCAGTCTGCAAGCTCCGAAGTGGGACCACAGGCTGGGTCTCGGCGGCATCAAAGCTCAGCTGCAGCCCAGACTTCCCCTCTCCGGAGAGAGAAGCGCCAGGGTGCCTGCCCTCCTACCTGTAACCTGCGTCCACCAGTGTTCTACTCACCCTACCCCAGCGCCGAGCCCACCCTGATTCATTTAACACCACCCCCTGCCTAGTGCCCACTAGCAGCACACCTCAGTCCCCGGCCATCCGTAGAAGTGACAGCTTTCTCCAGCCACAATCGCCTAACAAAGCCTGGGCACGCAAGTCTAAACCAAACTGCCGTGAAGGGGACACAACAGGCGGGGTGCGGATAGGCAGAGCGGCTCCACAACTCAGGGGCGCGACCTGGGCAAGCGAGGCCACCTTGGATGCTCCAAGACAGGCGTCAAGAGAAGACCGCGCAAGGCTCACCACCCCGCATTCTCCATCACCTCAGAGCCCAGCCTCTCACCCGGTCCCTGTCCGTCCTCCAGCATGCTCCTGCTTCGAGTGGCAAGAGCTCCAGTCCAGTGGAGAAAAGGCGCCCCCTCGGTTGCTTTCAGCCCCTACCAGGGGAAGGCACTGGGGTGAGAGGAGAGGGAAAATTCCCGGGGTGGAAACCTTCTCTATTCCCTAGCGTGTGCGACAGCGAATGCGCCCGGTCTCCTCTCGAGTTCATCCTGCTCAACCGCCAAACCGCCCAATGGCTGATAAAACCTCGAACCCGTGCCAGACCTGAGCGCCCACCAGCCAGGAGGCTCCCTTCCCGCCCCGCATCACGATCGGATGAGTGTGTGAGAGGGCGAGTGTGTGAAGGCGAGTGTGTGAGTGGAAGGGTGAGTGTGCGTGAACCCCGCACCCCCTCAGTTGCCCGCCCGGCAGATGCCGCCGCCTGGGCCAGACCCGGACGACCACTATGATGAAGAGTGAGAAGAATAAATTACCTTCTGCAACCGCGGGTCCCTGAGATCGTCCCATCAGTCGCTCAACAACCTGCAGCGGGGTGCAGTTTCCACAATCCAGCCATAGAGCCCGGGGCAAAAGATGGACTGGCCCCAGCAAAGGCACCCCCACCACACGCGGCCAAAAAAAAAAAAATGATAAAGCACAGAGAAGGCAGCAGGAGGGTGGAGACCCCAGTCAAGAAAACAACAACAAAAGTCTCTCTTCCCTTTCTTCTGCAACACAGCCGTGGAGAAAGAGAAAGAGGGAAAGCCAAATGCTTGTCGTCCTTTACGTTTCCTCTCTTCACACACCCCAAGGGGGCAAAAGCGGAGCAAAGAGAAAGGAGGGTTCAAATGTCTCTCCCAGTTCACAGTTGCACAACTTCGGAGTCAGGCTCAGTCTCCAGCGGCAGCCCAGGAACCCAAGCGGTAGCTATTAACATGCGGCAGTCATAGCTGGAGCTGCTTCTCTTCTTGCTGCTGCTGCCGCTGCTGCCGCCGCCACCACCGCCGCCGCCGCTTAAGAAAAGACGCTGCTGAGGAGACCAAAAATCTTCCACCATCCCCCCCAGCCGATCTTTATATCCAGTTCTCCCACCCCACCCCCCTTCTCTTTCTTTTTCTTCTTCTTCCTCGTCCTCCCCTCTCCGCCTCGGAGCGGGAGTGATGGAATAGGTAGGGGGAGCCGCTAGGGCCAGGGGTGGCTTCTCCGCCAAACCCTCCTCTTCTTCTTCTTCTTCCTCCTCCCCCCAAGGTTCTCTCCCAGCCGAGGGTCCGATCTCGCGCCCGCAACCTGTGCGGAGAACCGGAGCGAGAGCCACGCAAACTCCTTCTCGGGTGCACGGCGGGGACGCGCGGGCAGAGCGTGTGCCCTGCCGCCTAGGGCTGCGTCCCGGGGGCTGGCGAGCCCCGAGCCCAGGAGGTGGCTGATTAGCTCGCCGGTCGGGCCAGGCAGCTGCGGGCATGTGGGAGCTTCATCGCGCGGCCCGGGCTCCGCGCCGCCGCCGCCGCCGCCGCCGCTGCTTGGATTCTTTTTCTTCTCCGACTCCCAAAAGCGAGCGAGGCTCTGGCGCTTTCCAGACAAGCACACTCACACACGCGCACACACGAGCGAGCTTCTGCCAAAGCAAACCGTGCAACCCGCGCGCGCGCACACCCGAAGAAAGAGGACAGAGGCGAAAAGAGAAGAAAGAAAGGGGAGGGGGCGAGTCACTGGCGGCAGCAGCGGCAGCAGCTGCGGGAGCCGAGGCAACAAGCAGCCCGGGAAATGCCTACAGCGGCGGCGGCAGTGCAGGCGCCCACCAGGACCAGCCGCAGCATCTGCATCCCCGCTCCTGGGAACTGGAGCCAGAGGGGCTGGGCGGGCAGGCGAAGCGGCGACGTGCGGAAAGCCGGTCGGAGAACGGGTAGCGCCGGAGCCGTGCAGCTAGCGCGCGGCGAAAACAGCCGGGGCCCGAGCCGAGGCCAGAATGAGCCACCCGCAGGCGGGCGAGCGAGCGAGCGAGCGAGCGAGCGAGCGGCGAGAGCTCCCAGAACCCCGGAGGGGGGCTCGAGCCGGGGGAAGGGGGTGGCCGACAAAACCCGGATCTGGAGTGCCTGCGGGCTCCACCTAGCAGCTCGGCAGAAGCTTGGAGGTGGGAAGGAGAGGGCTGCTACCAGAGGCTTCTTTTTCAGGGTTTGTCAGACAAAGAGTACCTCTCTCAGGGCTGGGAGTC